CGAGTGAATTAGCTCCGCCATCGATTCAATTAGCTCCGGTGCGTCTCACATAGCGAAATAAAAATTAAACAAGTCCCCTTTAGCGTTTTCTACTCCCGTGGGCCCGAACCTACACTCGGTTCCGTGGTTTGCGACTTTGTTTGCGACTTTTCGGAGATAAATACTCCGGAGCGTCCATTAGTGTTTGTTTCAGGCATCAAGATTTTGTTTTATTTTTCTAGGTCTTCCTACGGACTACCCTACGGCGTCTTACTCCTCCTTTCCCCCTCGAACTATTAAATACCCTTCAGTTGTCTCGGACCGCCTTCACCCATATCACGGGGTTTAGGTTTATTTCTTTTGGTCCTTGGTGATTGTTGTGTGTCAGTGCATATCATTTTGGAGCCCACCGCGAGGGGGGTACCATTTCAAGACGTCCAGTCCTCTCGAGGAGTTATCCCGACTCTTCGAGGAAGCCAATCGTCGCTTAGACGAAGGCGACACCTTATCCGCTGTCCTATCGCTTAGGAACCTTATTGGAGTGCAGGACCCAGAATATATCCCAGTCACCCTGCCATCTCCTCGACGTCTTCGTAGCCACACTAGGCAATTAGCGTTAGCCGCAGCTGCTGCAGTCGATCCGGTTCCACCTTCCGCCGAGGAGCCAGACAGCCCAGACATTCCCCTTCGAGAAACCCTCCAAAGCCGCCATCACGCAGTGTCTAACCCGGAGTCCGGAGCCCTTAACGTTTCCCATCCATTTATCCCATCGCCAATACACTCAGAGTCCATTCCCTCATCATCATCCGGCCTCGTCGAAATTCCCTCCAACAATATCAGCACTCCGGAGTTAATTCAGCCGCCTCCCATCGGTACTGTCACAATGTCGGACACTCTACCCTCTCGCTACGACAAGCATGCACCTCGCTTCGATCCGGAACAGCCGCGGACCCTACTTCGCTATTTCGAGGACCTGGCGGACTTATTTGCCGCTCATCCAAATGCGGTCCCGAATGAAGCAACGAAAAAGGCGGTAGTGGTGAAATATGTGCCTATGTATGAGGAGGAGCTATGGAAAGGCGTCCCGGAATTTTCGGACGACTCCAAGACCTTTGAGGATTTTAAGGGAGCAGTCTTGGCGTTATACCCAGCTGTTAAGGAGGACCAGAGATATAGCGTCGGGGATATGGACCGACTAGTGGGGGAAAGGCAACGAGTGGGCATCCACAATTTGGCGGACCTGGCAGCATTTCATCGCGACTTCCTACTTATCACTCGATACCTGCGCAAGAACGACATCATTTCCGTTCGAGAGCAGGGGAGGGCATTCCAGCGAGGGTTTCAGCCGGAGTTGTGGAACAAAATATTCGGGCGACTCCAGATCAAGGACGTAGACCACCAACCAGACACTCCATATGGCGTGGACGAGGTTTACAAGGCGGCGGAGTTTATTCTTCATGGAACGTCGGCCATAGGAACCACAGAGAAGCATGCGGAGCCATCTCGGAGTGCTCCGAGCGCACCGGTGGTGAAGACGGAGGACCTATCATCATTGGTGGAGGTCATCACAAAATCCATCAGTCAAGCTCTAGTAGCCGCGGTTCAGCAGAACGCTGCGATGGCCCCTGCGACGTTCAACAGACCTG